CAGAAAAGCAGCTCTGATTTCTAATTCCCCAAACCCTGACGCATATAATCATTTTATCATTTTGGTTCCTTACAACTGTGAAATATTTTGCTTAATTATCACTTCCCATTTGAGTATGATCATAGATACCAGAATTATAACAAACGTTGCTGTTTTCACAAGTCTAGACAAATCCCTGGGGAACTGGGAATGAACTGACTTGGTTCTACAAATGTTTTCGGGGTATGTTGTCTTCTCTTGAATGTAAGCCACGTGCATAATTTGTCTCTGTTTTTAAAGTGTCACTTTGTACCTCCCTGCAGAAGAAAAAAAAATAATATTACCCCTGCATTTGATTATTTACAAAGGTCATTAAAGAAATGAACACTTTTTTCTAGAAGTCTGTAATTTACAGACACTAGCTTGCTGCAAATTTGTGCTTGTGGGAATAAATTGCATTTCACACTGGCACCATCTACTGGGAGGTGAGCAGGACAGCGCGGCATGCTGTGATTCCCCTGCTTCTCTTCCACAATTAAACCTGTGACTGCTGGTATCCAACACCTCCTCCAAATGGCAACACGAATTAGATTTGGAAAAGTAACCGAAGGAAGCAGGAAGGTGCTAATGAGAGAATATCACTGGTTTTCATACTGAAATTTTTCATTTGAATACGACAGGAGTTAATTATTACTATTTGGCTTTACTGTTCCTTACTGCTACGGTGCAACAGGGAAAAGAACACCAGGAAGCTGAACTCTTCACTCATAATGCAGGCAGCACACGTTTCCATATAACTTAAAAATTCACACAGATCAAAGGACATAAATTCTTTCTTTCAGAGGTGTGAAACCTATTTGTAGGTTTCCATTATGATGATAGGCTCTGATGCCATCTCTCAAGCTTCCTCTGTTCCAGCAGCATGCCTAAGTGACTGATTCTAAACCCTAAGGATATTTTTAACTGCTGTCTTCTACTAAGTAAACAAATTCCTCAGTTTAAAAACAGATACCACAGACCATGCTGCTATCACACTGTGCTTATCTTGCAACATACCAGCATTTGCACTTGTTTTGCTTAACATCCAGCATTTCTGGATGCAACAGAAAACAGCTTTGAGCACTACAATATTCTTTGCAGAGTATTTGCAGAGACAGTACCAGAGAAAAGGTCACAACCTTCTGGCTGGAAAGGGAATTAATTCTGGAAGTATTCTTTCTTCTCTGTACATTCTCATTGGTTTTGTACTGCTTGATGATTCTCCAAGCATTATTCCACATCAGTTCCATACATAAAATTCATTTGGTAGTCACTCAACAAGCTGATTCAAGCTGACAGAAAATCTTTCAGCAGACTTTACACAAACCAGGAGGAAGAATTTCTCTCTTTCCTGATCTGCAGCAGCCATTGCTGCTGCTCGTGTAACTTCTGGTTAGGGTGCACAGAGGGGCAGGTACTCCTCATAGTACACAAACATAAGTTGGAAGAGGACTGAAAAAGACATAGTCCTGACTGGTCTATTTAGAAGTCAAAAGTACATCCACAAGTTTGTAAAGAGAGCTGATTAAGACAGTACTCTCTCTCTTTCAATCTGTAGTATTCTCACAGCAACTTTTCAGACAGTGATGTTAGAATTTATCCCAAGAGAAATGCTTTAGTAACACAAACATTTTATGTCTCATCAATTTTTTTTTCTTTCTTTTTCCTATTTTTTGGGGGGAGGAGTGGGAGTAGTCAGAGGGAAGACATACCATTTAAACGTATTTCATCTTTGGAGGATTTGTGAGCTTCTAGTTTAATGAAATTGGGTACCCAAAATCTCCTTTCACCTGCTGACAAGTTCCTTGCAATTTGCAGTTCACTGAAAAAAAAATCACCCCATTAAAATTCTAATTCAGAACCTATGGATCACGGAAAGAAATTTAAAGATAACTCATATATGCATATATAAGACATCCATTCTTCTTTTATTCTTACTTGCCCTCTAGAAGAATAATCTTCTCACAATCAAATACCAAGTGGTTAAAACAAACAGCAGACTTGCCACCACAGCCATTTTGAGTAGAAGTGTCAAAATACGGTATCTAGCTACATCAGTAAAACCTTTCTGCAGACAAAACAGAAGTGCTTCATTTAACTCATCACCAGACAACTGTCTGGGCATGGTGATTTCTAGCAAGCCTTCTGCAGACACACACTGTAGCAGACTCTCTGCCAGAATGGAGGAGCTCTCAGGATGAGAAACTGGGAGTGACTTTTATTACTCTGCTGAAACATGCAAATTTCCCTGGAAGCCCACAATGGGACAGATACAGTGCAAAGCCTTCACAGCCCTACTACAGAATGCTATCACACACTATTTGCATTTTCAAGTCAAAGAACTGACCTGAGGCAGAATATTATCACAGCACCCAGTGATACACATCTCCTTTTCAGACTTCTTAACTTGTTTTGGCTGGATGACTTCTCTTTATTACTTTTTGTTAAATTTATTCCGTTCTTCCTACATGTACAAGCATGTTAATTCCAGACAGGAAACTTGTAAATCTAATAAAAAGGGAACTCCAAGCTCACACATTATCTTACTGATGCTATAAAACTCTGTGTATACATGTTGAACTGATCAACAACGTATTAGTCCAAAGTCAATAGCCAGCTCAGCCAGAAAAACAATGAACATGGAAGTAAACTTTATTACTATCCAAGACACTCCTGAAGAGACCAACAAGCTAGTTAGTATTCAAAGTATTCAAAACCTCACAGAAAGGTAATGCCAAGGGCTAATTTTGTCTTTTTTTCCTGCATTTCAGATTGACAATATGGCCAACTGGATGCCATATGGACAATACGGATGCTGTTCTTGCTGCAGGGCAAAATAAGACAGTAACATTTTGTCTCATAGTAATACTATAGAATTTAATGAAGCTCATTCTCTTCAATTTGGGACACTTGCAGTGCATGTGGAAAAAATCCTGCCTTCAGGCCTTTACAAAGCTGCCATGAAGATGTTATCCACCTTCAGATCTGTTGAACACTCATCACAATTACATCCGCACAAACCAGCAGAGATTAAAAGTGTTATTCCAAGAGTAGTACTTGACAAAAATAATGCATCAGTGGCACACACAACTCCCATGAACACAGACAGTCCATTGGGTTATACTTTAGCAAAATTCTAGTATTTCGAGCCCTTCCTTCCCCTGTAGTATTTAGCACTCTTTTTTTTCTGGAAACTTCTTTATATCAACCTAACTTAATTATTTATGTTATGAACTTCCTCTGAAGTCTCATTTTCTAACCAGTCCATGGTACTACTCCCCTAGTGCAGATCTATCAACTGCAGTCTGGTTTTTCTACATAAGCCTCTGCTGTCATAATGGTTCAAAAACCTTTTTACATAAGTGGTGTCTCTATTAATGCTCTGCAAAGAAATTATAAAAGTAAACAGATACTTGAGCAGATGAAACAGCTAAGCCCAAGTACTGGAGAGCTGAATAAAATGCAGTTTTCCCCAGGGCTGCTTGGCAGAGTCCAAACCAGCCCAAAAAGGCACAAATGGTTGTGAAATAGCCCTCGCCCCGTTTCTTCGCACCACAGCCCTCGGCAGCCTCCCCGCCACAGCCCCGGGCCGCCCGCCCGGGAAGGGCTCCAGGCAGCTTTAGGCTACCTCACCACTTTAGGGTCCTTTTTTTGTGGTTTTCTGACAAAGAACGGGCCTCCACTACAGGAAAATGCACAAACGCTCCCAGTTCTTCTGACAGCTGCGTTTTCACACACGCTTCCTGTCAGCTGCAAAAAACCATTCCGGTCTTGTGGTTAGTTGTCAGCATGTCCACATAAAAACGTTTGCAAGGGGAGGGTGGAGGTCGTCTTAAATTCAAACAAACAAACAAACCCTCCAAAAATACCACGAGGATGAAGGAAGCTGCACACAAAATTCTGTAAGGAAACCACAATGCTGTGGTTTCCCTCCCTGGGAGGGGGTTTGTGCTACACAGGACAGACCCTGTATGACCTTGTCTTACTGCCTTCAGAAACTGGAAGCCAAGAAGTAAGACAAGGATCACAAAAGCACTTTTAAGGCATTCTCTGTGTAAGCAGTTCTTCACATACAACAGGGCCTAGAGTCCTTTAGAAGGCACTGCCCATGTATAACTAAAGATTATATTTACTTTGCCCAGATGATGACAGAGAACATCTACTTGCTGCAACTGTAATTACGTAGCTTTGCATTACTGATTAGATGATCAAACTACTCATCAAATTTGGTTTTACAGTGGTGTTGAACTCACAATATTTGTACCTTCTAGTACAGCTTAACATTTGAAGTTGACCAAAATATTTCCCTAACAAGCAGGCTAGCTATAAATATTTATCAGCATCTTAAAACTTCTATAGATTCAATATTCCTTATTTTTGACAATTATTTTTAAAGTTATGTTTGCTAAAACCCCCAGTACCACGTACTCCCTTAGTCTCAGCCAAACAATCACTTGTATTATCTCTAGCAAATGCATGATTGACACGAGCCAGTGATCTCATTCCTGTCTAAGAACAGTGGTAGAAAAATTATGTATTCTTGTATATGGCATGGCAGCATGGTTCTGCAACACAGCTCATGCCTAGAAAAGCTGCTGACTATGTCAGCTACCTCTTAGAACATCTGTATGTGACGTTTAGTTGTATCCCAAACTGCTGTATCTCACTCCACAGCTTTTTTCTTCTGCCCATTGCTCTGACATAGGCTAAATGTAAGTGGAATATGACAAAAGTCTTACACAAACACCAGTAAAGATCAGCATTGTTTCCATATTTAGGACTTCCTCAACCCCTAGAGCCACTCCTCAAAGCGTTCAGTAGTGTAACTCCACCAGCTCTCTCGCTCAGTATCAAGAAAATGTTTTTGCTCACAGTTCTGCTGTTTTCCTACCGTAAGCCAGGGACATACTTCTTACCTATTACAAATCTTTCTAAACAAGAGCTGTTGTTTCTTGTCTGAAAGCTTTCTTTTCTTCTTTTAGCTCAAACGTCTCAGCAGATACAGAACACTACCGCAAATGGCAAAGGTAAGTTCTTGCCTTTTCTTTTTTTTGGTTTTCTTTTGGTATATGTGCCGATACCAACTGCCAACAAAAAAATTGGGGAGGGATTTAAAAATGTCCAAAAATCTTAATGTAAAATTAAATCTTTTGCCCTGTCTGTGCAGTGAGACAGTTTACAACTTTCTAGACAAAGTTAACTGTCACTTCGATGACTCGTACATAGTCAAAATTGCTTTAAATTCTTAAAATGTACTTTTTCCCCCTCTAGAAGTAAGAGAATTTATCTTAGTTATGACTACTTTATTATTATTTCCTATGAAAAGACATTACAAACTTTTATTACTAATTTATTTGTATAATATCATAAAAGCAAACTAATATGATAGACTATCAAGGCTCCTGCTGCTTCTATTCAAAAATTCAATCGACTTACATGAGGTTAATTCTACCTATCTACACACAGCCACAAATAAAATCCTGCTTTTACTTTCAGGTTCATGTCCTACCCCTCAACCAGCACATAAGGTTACTTTCTCCTACAACAAATATACCATAATATTTATGTTTTATACATGCATTAATTATTGTTGTAGTTCAAACGTATTTTTGTTGGTTCATCTGGATGTATCTGTTTGTTTTGTGTGGGCATACCCTCTTTTGAGGAAGACATGCATTTTTCATCACCTGGTGGAAGCTGCATACTGATTTTCAGAAATACAAAGTTGTGTTGCCCACTACTGGAGACGGCAAAAATTATAATCTTCTATTTCAACAAAAATAAGTATAGCCTGGTCCTCAACTTAATTTGAGAATTATCCAGGTTTCTTGAATGATGGGTGCAGTGAACTCACTTGGAAGTTTCTTCTTCCCAGAGATGCTGTCCAATCCCAGGCTCATTCCTGTTCCGATGACTGTGAATGTGATGATCAACCAGAACGTGACCCTCTCCTGCCACTCAGACTCTGGCTCTCCACCTGTCAGATACACGTTGTTTAAACGTGGTCAGACAGTATCCACTTTAAATGGGCCAGACTTGACCCCTGTTTTGTTTAACTTGACTATCAAGTCTGCCAGTGACGTGGGTGAATACAAATGCAAAGCTAAGAATAACATCTCCAGCAGTGGAAAATACAGCAATAGTTTCAACTTCACCCTTACAGGTATGTCTTGCTGTGTACCTGCTCAGCACTTTGCATTTTAGGGGCATGCAGCCATGTCTGAGGCAACGTGGCAGGGTTTTGTCAGCAGCAGGTCCTGGTTTGGACCTCAGCATGCAGAGCTGTGTGGCCTTGAGCTGGACTTCCCTGCAAGCAGCTGTTAGTTTAGGAGCCCTCAACGTCCACCTCACTTACCAGTCTTGCTGCTGAACCCAGAGTCTTGCTGTGGAGTTTGTGCTGTACTCGGTGACATAGTCTCTTCACTTTTCTTTTCACAGAGCCAGTTTCCAAACCAGTGTTGAGCTCACCCACCTCTCAGACAAAGAAGGGCCAGCATGTGACCCTGTCTTGTCTCTCAGAGAATGGCTCTCTTCCCATCACATACAGATTCTTCAAAGGCAGCCAAAGCCTCTCTTGCCCAATGAAGATGCAAAAGAGGGAAGCAGCTGTGATTTATCTGTTTATTAATTCCTCTAGTGACCTTGGAACCTATACATGCAAAGCTGAAAATAGCATTCACAACAATATAAAATACAGCAACAGTTTCAACTTTACATTAGCAGGTATGCACACGTGAAGCATTTTACCACTGTCAGCAAACAAAGATTTTTACCCATGAATTTTGTACTTTCAAAACATGTGGTTTTTTTACAATTTTAAAAAAAGTTTTTAAAAAGAATGGAAAAATATGTAATTCCACACAGCCTAGATAGCAGTAGAAGTTGAAGTGACCATTCACTTTTACAAGAGACCCCTGGCCCACCTTACTCCACCCTGGGCAGAGGCTAGTTTCGCTTTGCTCTCTGGTCCTATGAAAGAGGGACTCTACTGGCACCAGCAAGCTCCCTTCCTTCTGCTGGGGCAACATGAGCTTCAGAATCTCCTGAGTGGTTATGTTAACCAGTTAATCCAACAGCTGAAAGAAATAGAAAGTCTTGATTTTAATTTACAGAAAATACTTAGAATATGAATCAACATTGAATTGCATAAACACTTTTTTTTTTTTTCTTTGCAGAAGAGAGAAGCCATTCTGAATGCCTGATAATTTCTTTTGGACTTATCTTATCACTACTTATAATAGGACTTGCTCTGGCAATTCCATTTTTCATAATTCCTTTATATAAAGCAAGTGAGTTACTTGAATTTCTGTTTAATTTTCCAGAGGTGCTCCTTTATGTGTGTGAGCATCATGCTCCGAGTTATGCTCCTGGTATTTTAGGCTGTTGTCAAGTCTCCTTTAACAACACAGACAACTTAATGAGATACTGACAAGGCAAAACCCCTGAGCTATGTTTTAGATGGCAGGTCTGGGATGGGGGAAGCAAAGCAGCATCTGATTTAATACACATAAATGTTGGAAGGAATTTGACCTTGTTATTCTTAGTAAAGAACGGAAATGCTATTAAAAATACCCTTCGTTAAGGAGTGATTTTTATAATGAAAATAACATTATCTGAGATCTCCAAGTACTCAAATGCATATAGGCATGCATTTCATTTTCTTTTAGAATCTGCAGAAAAATCTAAGTCTCCTGGGTCCTCAGCTGGCCTTACTTCAGCAACAAATGCAGGAGAGTCTGAGGACTGTGTCATATACACAGAGATTGGTAAGTTCACGTTATAACTTGTGGGTGTTTGATAAATGCTATTACACTATTTGTAGCTAGTATGGACAGATTTCTTCACGTACTAGAAAAGCCATGGCAAGGGACACCTCCTATCACTCAGTAAGGGACAGTCTCAGCTGTGCCTGGCAGAGACATTATTTGAAGTCCCTCAGGATGCACATTTGGCTCTGCCTGTCAGCTGTGCAGCCAAAACTGCAACTGGTTCAAATGAACTGAACGTCCTTAAAAAAATCTGCTGTGAACAGAAGTAAAATGAAGAACTGCATTTGGCAACTCATGGTGAGGAAACAGCTGTTACAGAAGAAAAGAAAATGAGAAGAAAGGAGATCAGAGCTGCAAGACCCATTGACTAAGAAATAAAAGTGGGCTACATGCAAGTTCTAGCAAAGTAAAACTCATGTAGCTCCTGCATCCTGTTCAAAATTGTTCAGGACCCAGTAGTTCTTTATTCTTTGTTTCCTAACTTTGACAAGACTCAACGTCAGTTCAAACTGAAATTATGAAGTAGTGCCAAACAAAGTAACTGATCTGTGTTAAGATATTGTACAACTTCATACACAGTAAAGAAGACATGAAAACTGCAGTGCTATTAGCTTGCAGCTTTCTGCATTTGCCTTATAAGTGAATGTCAGTATTGTCAAGGGAAAAAGAACCCCCATAAACAAACCAACAGCAAAAGTATTATGTTTCCTGTTTCTAAACATCAAAAAGGGAATAATTCTTTCCAGATAAATCTGTCTTCCTGCTCCTGCAGCAGCCAGGTAGCATTGCAGCTGCTCTGCTGCGCTGGCTCAGAGCTCTGGGCAGATGCTGGTGTTCTACCCACACAGCCTGCAAAAGCATGGTAGATTTATATCCAATGTGGAATCTCTCTGCTCTGTTTCAAGATTTATTTTTTTTTTTTAAATAACATAAACCTGATCAGCCTATTATCAATGAGCTAACTGCTGTTCATCATCTTTAATCCAGAGCCTGTTAAACGAGAAGATGAATACATCAACTTTTCCGTTATTAGAAGAGAAGATGAAAAAGGTGAAAATCTCAAGCTATAATACTGGAAAATATAATGTGCAGAAGTATGTTTTGGGGTGATTTTGCTGGGGGGAGGCATAGTTTACATAGAAGCAGTAACATACTAAAACTGGTTATTTACTACAGAGAAATTTAAAAAACTTACAGGACTTATTTTGAGGGGAAAAAAGCAAACAAAGAAGCAAATGCCTATCATCATCCTATGAACCAAAAATTCAACAGCTGCATTAGGAAACCATGCAGATGTTATTAGTGACCCAGGTGCTAATGGTATATTAATTCTTCTATGGGGTACCTGTGCCAAAAAAAAATTAAATTATTATGTTATTCTGGCTTTTAGCAGAGAAGAGAGCATGTGCTACTGTCTATTCAGAGGTCCTCCTCAGAGAATGAGTACAAGGTAAGATCTCTTTTGTGGTTAGCTTAACCACATACTTTTAAAAGAATCTTTCAGTCCTCAGATGTGACAAGTAACACCACGTCAGCACAGGGAGAGATGAGTTTCAGATACTAGTTTCCTGGCCTCATTATTTTGTAGACAGACAATACAGCTCGGTCTCTACTAGCAAGTTATCCCCAAGTCATAATCTCTAAGGACTTCAGTTTAGAAGAAAACGCAGAACAGACAGGAATTGGAATTAACAAAGACTCGAGCAGAGACCCCACTGCACAAACAGCAGCTTCTCCCCCAGCTGCACCATAAAAAGCACACGGAGACAAAGCGGCGCAGTGGCCGTGGGGCAGCGCCCTGCTGGACACAGGGCCTGGCACAGGCTGCTGCTGAACGAACAGAAAGCAACCAATGGTGTGAAGCTCTCAACCAGACCAGAGTTTCTGTACATTTAACAGTTCTGAAGGAGAAACTGGACCGTATGCAAGCATAAGGTGATCAAAAGGCTTTAGTCAAGTATTAAAAAAATAATTGAAATAGCCCATGTTGTCCTCTTAGGCACATGTCTTGTATTACTCTTGATAATGTATTTCTAATTTTTATGTTTATCAAGTGCAAGACGAAGAAAAAATGTTGAAGAACTGAGGCCATGTGATTAAAATAAATTCCTACTAACAGGCAGTACACAGATAATTACCGATGTTATTAAAACATTTAAGATTTGGAAGTCTTTTGTATAAAATACCATTTTCCAGCAGAGACTGTAATTGTGTCAGCAGTAGAGATGAAAGATGAATTTTTAGGTTAGGATAGAGTATTTTCATTAAGATTCTGATTCTGTTTTAGCAGAGGACTTAGCAGTGTTGGATTAATGGTTGCACTTGATGATCTTAAAGGTCTCTTCCAACCTAAAGGATTCTATGATTCTAAGACAGTAAAACTCAAAGACATGGAAGAGAATGTGGTTAGCCCTGCTAACGAGTGACAAGTTTGTCTCTTACCTCTTCAAGGCAACCTGGAAGACCTAGATGGTCTAGGTTCCACAGAGAACAGACGCACCACCAAGTTTTAGCAGAACAATCTGCAGAGAAAGCACCGAGTCCATGACACCGTATAAGCCAGCTTAGGCACAGATGTTTAAGAAATTCCTTTTATTCAACAAATTTAAATTTACACATTTTTGGCTGATGTTACATACTTAGTTAAAAAGTCCTTCAGCCTAGAAATGTGCATCATTTCCTTCATGGTGGTGTCTCTGCTTCTCAGCTGGACCACTCCATTCTCCAGAGTGGCATCAGTTATCAAGATCATGAAGAGAATGCTCATCTCATCATACCTGCAAAGAGAAGAGCACAGCAGTCACTGCTTTGGGTGTATGAAAAAATCAGATAAGTTATGTACAAATGACCATAAGCTGTAAATATTTGTTATACTGCTCTAAATCCAGTGTGAATACACCAGTTTTCTTGTTGCCACTCTGTGCTTTCACGATTATATTTATTGAAATTATTTAGTTACTTTAGTACATAACAAGAACGTTATTTGCTGATCTATTACAAGAGTATTTTTGTAGAAGCAGAATATATATCTCTTCTGTTATTTAATAGCCAGGTCTACTTTGAAGACTACTGCACAAAATAGTCATTTATTTTCTCTCAGGAAAAAATATTCATCGAGATGCTCAGGATCCATTGACAGGGGCAGCTTTGTGCTCAAAATTTCAGGACATGGTTTAGTGGTCATGGTAGTGTTGGGTTGATGGTTGGATTTGAGTAGCTCAGAGGTCTTTTCCAATCTTAATGATTCTATGACTCTAAAATTCACACTGATGGACAAATCATCTATGAAGCCCTCAAACAGAATTGCACTTTTGATCTGCACAAATAAGTCCACCGCATATCCTAATGGTAACGGCTTCAGACTTGGAAGAACTTGTACATTCAAGACTAGACACAGTGTGCTATTTGAAATGCTGCTGAGGATAAAACACAGAACCCGTCTAGCTGCAGAAACTGGGGGTAAGGGTGGGAAACAGTTCTGAATTACTCAATTTAAGAAATTTAATTTTCAATCTGAGAGTCTCTAAAAGACATTTTACAGGTCCAGAGAAACAACAATAACGTGAAAGGCTTAGACTTCAGTTAATCTTAAATATGAACTAACATTGCTCTTCATAATAAAACTTATTGAATGCAAGTCTACAGTTTGGGATACACGCCTTCAGTCATGAGGTTACTGCACTCAATGACTTCTTACTGAAAACGGGCGTATTCTCACTAGTCCACAGCAAGTCATCTTTGACCTCCATAGTTTAATTTACAAAAGACTGTTTCTCCTTACTTTGTGTAAAGCTGTTCCAGAGATACCTGCACGGTTTCAAGATAACCCGGCCATACAGAAATTCTATTTTCTGACAGTTCACTGAACAATCCTTGACAAACCTGTGTTTATTTAAAAACAAAAGTTAAAAGACAGACTTTGAGGGCTTGGAATCCTATACTAAGAAATTATTAAAACTCTCCTATGTATGCTATTAGCATTCCTAGATAGTGTTGAAATAATCTCCAAGTAGAAAGCAGCCTGGCAATTAAATATTTTAATATATTTAAATAAATTAAAGAAGCCTGTTTCTACTAAAAAATACACCACTGTAGGTTTCTTCCCTTCTGCAGGGACTGGCTTAATGACTGACTTCAATAAAAACTTTCTAGAAAGCCTTCTGAAGATGTGACACGTATTCAGATAAATCCAAAGATTAAGAGCTGAGAGGGTTTGTGCCATTTTCCTTAATTTTGGATGAAAAAAACATCAACTCTATTAATAGTGCTAAGAGCAGCAAGGAAGGCACCTCCTGCTCACTGTCTGCAGTGTACTCACTCCTTCAGCTGCGACTCACAGGCTGCACAGCAGAAGCACAGTGAAGTCTGTACAGCCATGAATCTCTGAGAACCAGAGGAGCAGCAGGACTGCCCCCAGCGCAAACCGCGTCTGGGCTGTAACAGGGCAACGGAAAAACCAGCTCAGAACTGAAATACTTTCTCACAACATACCTGTCTCAGCTCTGTCGTTGGACCTTTTCCTACATCCAAGGCCACTTTAATAGGTGCTAAACAAGGATGAAGCTTAAGCACCTAATAATTTTACAGAAAAACAACAGATTACTAGAAGTATTTAGTGTGAAATTGCAAACACAAGTAGGAACTATTATTTTTCACTGAAACCAAGGTTCTAAACATGCACAGTTTTTCTCATAGCACAAAATCCCAGAGTAGAAGCAAGCTGTATTTTATAGAACTAGCACACACGCCAGCTAGGTCAGCATAGCAGAAAGTACTCTATTTTGGCTAAAACCTGGAAAAGAGATGAAGTTTTGTTAGCAGAGCTCCACTGTCTTTAATGGAGCCAGTGACCAGAGACAGCCCAGCAGACAGTTCCCATCCAGCCACTGCCTGTTCCTAAAGATCAAGTGGCTCTTTAACTACCAAGCACTGTCTGAAAGCTAGTGCTTGAACTCTGGGAAACCAGGGTACAAGTGGGAACAATGATGGCCCCTGGGGAATGCCCCACTATCACCTGTAACCCACTTTGTCTACTCTTCTCAGCAACCTTCAAATGCTGCTGAAGAGACAAGCTCTTCTTTCCATGCACAGCAGCTACATTCCAATTCCTCTTAACTTCGTCATCACTTGCATGGCAAGAGTTTAACTCCTCATCAGAGAGAAGGTAGAATAAAAAAGGTGACCTCAGAATAAGGGGCAAATGTGCTTGTGTGGGTGAAAAGGATGACAGAGGCAGTCCTGTGTTGCTACCAGTGAGAAGCATTCTGTCTGCACCAGCTGGGGAAGGGAACAGAGGATGGCCATGTGGAAAAGAGAGTTTTCCATGCTGGAATTTACCACACTGTCTGTGGGTTTTGTACTTGGACTTCCCTTATGCTTTCTACAGAAAGTTACCTTTCTCTGTGAAGTTTTCTTTTTTGTCAATGGATTCTCAGCTAGCTGCAGAGAATCAAAGAGATAGGCTAACACTCCTCGGTCCAGATTTCCACTCACAGACAGAACGTGAGGAATAACATTCTTCCTTCCATCTCGGCCCTGAGGAGAAAAAACCCACAACAGGGATACCTGAAAGACTGTTCCCAAAGGCTTTCATTTACTTTAAATATACAATGAGGGACTGAGCTCAAGCACCCTTATTACATTTAAAATATGGCCAGATGTATATTTTAGCAAGTTACTAACAATCTTAAAAGTGTAACTAGAAAAGATTGTAACACTGGGGAAAGCACAAGACCAGAGCACAATGAGATTATTTTCTTGTTCTGTCTCTCTGATCATAAATTTAAATCTATGGAGAATACACTTGAAACTGCATTTTCCCTTGGACTTTTGTAGACTGTTGTCAATACAGCTCATTTTGAATTTCCAAGAATTAACTCCTATGCAAAAAAAACCCAAAACACGAATTTATCTGCTTGTTAAAATGAAGGTCTGACTGCAGAGTAGCGATTGTACTGATTTTATAACAAAATAATAAAAAGACAGTCACATACTACACAGACCAGCAAAAAAAAACCCAAAATCTCTCACGTTATCTTTATGAGAAAAGATTTTTAATACAGTAATGCTTACAAGTAACTTTGAACTATCCCCTGGGTACATCTGTAACAGTTCAGTATCACCGAGGTTCTTCAGTGTTTCTATTGTTTCTGTCCCCCAAGGAAAGCTGTATTGCAAATTGAATCCTCTTCTTCCTTCTTCATCCTGAAAGTCACTGCTGCTGAAGTTGGATGGGCCTACTGCAAACTGAAAACAAAAGATGAGGTGATCACTGGTGGATGCTGCATTAACTACACCAAAACCCAAGCACATAGTGCAAGCTGAAGGCTGTGATTTTTCAGCAAGAGATTTTTATAAATTACAGCCCAAATCTCTTTGGTTTACAGCACTTTCATCTCAAACCACACAGAACATTTTCCTTTTTTCAAGTCACACCGTAAACTACTGGACTACTTGTCATAAACTTAAATAGTTTTTTTGTTGTTGTTGTTGTTTCCCAACAAGAAATACATGTATTTCAGTGAGAAGAATAGGCAAATGCCACAAAACCAATCAGGGTTTTGCCCTTTTTTTGAGATATAAAGGAGAAGCTCAAGATGTCCCATGGGTGTGTTACTCTTACCCTTCTCCACCACTGGAGCCTCTGGCGTAACCAGTAATCGAGCCACTGTCCTGCAGTTCTGGGAGAACTAAACCATGCAAGCAAAGACGTGGTCCTTTCGCCTATTCTTTAAACAATAGCAAGGTCAGCAAGTTAACTCCTTCAAAAATAACAAGGAAAAAGCAAGAAACAGTATTCAAAAACAATCCAAAAGTGAGATAAGTGCAAATAGTTGGTTTAGGCATGGAAAGGGATTAATTCCTCTATTACTCTACCTCAGAATGCTTTTGTTATGTTGTTCATTTTCTGGAATGGAGTGAAAGCACACTCCAATTTGAGCGAGGCCACAAGGCAGTCTTTTGTTCACCAGTTCTAAGCAGCTAACGTACTGGGCCAAAGCACCTGTCAAAAAACAAATCATTCATTTCAGTACCTGGAGAAGATCTAAAATTTTTAATTCTGCTTAGAGAGAACGCAGCACAGACGATACACATTGTCATTGGTACGTGCAGTCCCATCCACATGAATGCTTTGCAGAGATCAGCTCAGAGTCCGTAGCCCGGTTCCTCCGGGTACTTTGGCAGCTGTGCTTTTGGCGTGCCTTCCCCTTCATTACCAGTGGAAGCATCCATGAGCG